GAGTTGGCGGAAATATTAGTCTGAGCTTGTTAAATGGTGTTCAAAGGCTTAAAAGGCTCCAAGTTCAGCATCTATCAAGTCACATCTGCGTCTTCAGATTAGCCCAGATATTTCTGTTCTAAAACCCAAATGCCTACACCTTGTGCTTAGCACCAGGCACCAGTCACTGGCCAGCTTCCCACCCAAAGGGACAGTCAACTGGCTGTCAAAGCAAGCCCCAAAGCGTTTGCTGCTCTAACCTGAAGACCTGCCCACAGTTGGGCAGGTTGATGTCCCAAGCCACAGCGAATGGCAGAGCTCTGCAGCCCTTCCAGGGCCCGTTGAATTTCACCTCAGCATGGTAAGGGAAGGGTCCTCCAGCTTGGCTCTACACTGACACCTCCTTATCTTCACCAGAGAGTTCTACTTCTGCAGAGTTCACAACCAAAGCACAAACCTTCTCCTCCAGGTCTAGTTTGCAAATATCAGAAAGTTTAGGAAAAAATGGGGGGGAAAAAAAAAGTGAAATATTTTCTCTGAGAATAAACAATGAAATACTGTCAGGCTACTGTTTAAAATCTTACTATTTTCGCTGTGCTTCAGTACTTCACAATTTTCTCTATATAATAAGCATTTCAAATGAAATCACATTATTTTAAAACACACTGTAGTAGGCACTTACAATTCCTGAATGCTAAATACCAATATAACGTAGGCCAAATTTATTGTTGTTCCTTAACTTTGTGCGGTGTTCATTACATTTTAATGAATAAATAATTTTTCAAGTCTTTTCCTTGGAATCACGTATTACCTCTGTAATTGCATTACAGAATTAGGTCTCTATTTACATTCTCCTTCTGAGTCCTACAGATAAAACCTTGCTTTAATTTCCTCTAAGTCAGCAATCGTATTTCAACACCTCATTTATTAACCTAACTTAAAGATATGCCAACACACTAGCGATATGTGAAATGCTAATATCACTTAAGTTATTACCATGATACTAAATATTAATTAGGCAAAACAGATGCAAGTGCCTTATGACTCATTTCTTGACTCCAGATATATATTTGTTACTCAAAAGCAAACAATTTATCCTTATTTAGCTCATGAACACACCCGGTGCGTTTCTGCCCATCCGCATCTCTCTACTGGCTCTTCCTGCCATGTTGCATGGCATTTTTTCCCAGGGCATCGCTGGAGAGCCTGTCTGGGAATGCCAGGGAAGTGCTGGATAGCGCAGGGACATCATGGTGACAACAGCCCCCTTCCAGGGCATGGCCAGTTGTGGCCGCCCGTGCTAACGCACGCAGCAGGGCGCTTTCATTGCTGCTGCTTCGAGAGCTGTTGAAGTTTAAAACTCCCATGGCCGTGTCACCTAGCGTGCAGCGATGGCTCTGCGTGCAGCGCCTGCGCCCCAAGAGCTGCACTTTGCTCCGGTAACATCTGCTCCTGCTGTTGGCAGCGCAGACAGGCGTGAGCTCCGGCCATCGCTGCTGAGGGCCGTGACGAAGGGCATGATTCAAGATTTCGTCGGTTCRCTTGCCAACTTCATTCAACGCGTGGAGTCAGCGGAGCGATAAACGGGCAGTTTGGTTATTCCAAAGAAGTCTTCAAAAATACTTACACGGGGAGTATTCTTCTAGATAAAAGCAATTTCACATCAGCATGACAGCAGATAAGGTTTCTGTCTGTCACTATGGACATTTTTTATATTGCTTAAAATAATGACACCGCTAAACCAAGTCATGCAAGGACTTTTTCACAGTAAATCTTCAGCCCTCCCAAAAATATTCATCCAGCTGTCCCCAGCTATATCTACGGAAAAGAGTGAAACCTGTGGGGAAGCAAAAGCAAGCCTTCTAGTATACTGAAATGATGAATGTCCCCAGAACTTTTCAAATTGAGGGCAGAAGAAACAGCTCCTTCCTTGTAGCATTTGCTGGTGCCACCTCAATTAAAGGGGATCTCTGGCCTGTCTGAAGCCCCTGGTGGGCACCAGCCCCTTGGGGAGCAATGAGCAAACAGCAGCCCCATCCAACATTAAGAACCTGTTCTTGGCCACAGAGGGGGCAGGCAAAGAGAAGCCAACGACACAGCAAACAACATGCAACGCTTTGCACTTAGGATAAATTACTCTATCTTCCACCTGGGACAGACACAAAGATCCTTGAGAAACCAAGAAGATTTAAACAGAAATAAAAATGCTGGCCAGTAAACAGGCCCAGCTTGCCAGCTGTCATCTTCCAGGAGATGGATTTCATCTCTTCCTCTCAAAGCTTCTCCCAGCTTGGCAGCTGGTCACACTGCTATGTRTGAGGATCCCAGACAGAACTGAGAGCAAGGGAGGTCCTTCCTCTGCATATGTGTATTTTGTAATTCAAATTATTCTGCATACTTACAATACTTTAATTATTAATGTTGATAAACTAGAAAATCTCATTCAATTAGAATGGCCTCCTCTTTATTTTCCTTTTTTTTTTTCTCCTTCCTCCAAGATAAAACTAAATTGCTCTATTGCAAGATTGCTCTTTGCCCTTTTTTTGTGTGTGTGTGCACTTATAAAGAACATAGAAATWAAGTTGTGGCTCCTGGGATCCTGCTGGCTGGTGTGAMACTGCAGACACACAGGCACRGAGCGCCTGCTCTGCCATTCCTGCRGGCCAGCCTTTTGTCCTTGCTGCTCCCTCCTGCTGCATTCCACCTCCTCACCTTCACCTGCAATATCTTCTAATTCCCCCTTACTTCAGAGACCGCCCTCCTTCTCCTCTACTTTATTCCAGGGCTCTGAGTCCACCTTTTATTCCTTTCCCAGAAGAGCACAGGCTTTTACCTGCACTATCCTCCTTCACTAATATTCCACTTCTTTTTTTTTCCATGCTAGAGTTTGCTATATCTTCGTCTCTCTCCATAATGCCAGTTTAAAWGATCTCTGTTCTCCCTGCAACACCAGGGCAATGATAAATCCCTCCTCACCCTTTCCACCAACACATCTGAATCTCCAGGTAACCCCMCTGGCTCCTGCCCCATTGCTCAATGCTGCTTCCCCCATACCACAGATTCCCATTTCCCCCTCCATGGCAGASGTTTGTTGAAACAGATTACAACCTGTTACAACTGTAGAGACAACTGTAGATGACAACTGCAGAGACACATATGGAAATGCTGAAYGCACAACAAACCTCTTCGCACCCCCTGCTTTCCTTCCAGCTCAGTTTCCCCCTAAATAAATAACAGTTCTGCTTACTGAGAACGTGGAGCTCTGCACCAACATTGCCCCCAAGCCTTGCAAGCTTTGCCAACTGCTGCTACTCCTAGTCCTCCTTCCATGACATGCATCTGCTTGACATGGATGGGGAGGCACYCCCAGCTGCTGTCCACAGGGCTTTTTGGAGCGCCAGCAGCAGGCCAGCAGTGCCAACCTCTCCCTGCCATCCGCATGTAGCTCCCACGGATGAGCTACTTTCTTCACGTTACCCCCACGAAGAACATTTTGCTTGTGTTTGGAGGCAACAGGCATAAGCAGAGCAAACTATTTTAACTGAGAGTTTGAATCTGAGACAGTACGGAGATGGTAAATCTCTGCAAGTTCAAAAAAAGAAAAATAAAAAGCTGGGGGAGAATGAAAGAGCCTGGATTTTTGGGCAAAATACCGAAGTTCAGAGAAAAACATTCAAAAATTACTATCCATAAACTATCCATAAATTACTTATTAAAACACAACCATATGTCCTTTAAGAAAGAGACATGCATAATTCATAATGTAGTCAGCACATCGAAAGTCTGTTGTATATTTTATACTCATGAAATAAATAAGCATAAATTACTTGATTTGAATAACATCAAACATAAGTGATTCTAGAGATGGAGCCACACTTCACACTGAAGCAAGCACTCTGGGCTTGTTGATGTTTCACCAAAAGAGAGAAGAATCAGCAAGCTGAAAACAGAAATTCGTATTGTTGGCTTGCAAACAAACACTAGAGAGCTCATAAACGGCATATAAACTGAGACTGGGGACATAACGAAGCTGCAGAGGAGACTTCTGTTGCTACGGAAAATTGTAGGAAAATGAACACAAGTTGCCTGTGCGTGTTCTTTGCAATGTTGGTAAAACAGATGCTGATACTAAGAACCTCCTGTAAGCTTGGCTGCCTGTATTTTCTTATATTTGATATTTTCAGTTCCCTGACCGCAACCAGAATTTCACGGGAAAAAAAATCTTTTTTTTCTGAACTTTTCGTTTTTCTCACCCATAACCTCCTATCTCTAACTACACTGTAAGCATGTAATGATAAGGCTTCTGACTTAAGCCAAACTCAGAAGAGGCACTTTCAGTGTCTTTATCTCTATATTCCATAGGATTCGCATGGCATTCGTCTCCTACAAATATGACACCTAGGCAGTATTCAGAGACTTGTAAATAATTTATTTGTGCTGCAATCAAAGCTTTCAGAGTTTGACAGATACCATAGCTTATCACATCTCTCAGAAGGAGTTTTGATCAATAACAAATATTTTGTCTTCCAGGCACTTATTCYTCGGGTACAGGTTTAATTTGTGGTTCTCTTCCCTGCTGAAATTGGGAAAGGAAACATCCCTTGTAACATGGAGAGGCCTGGTCCTGCTTCAGATTTATGACTATTTCTTTGATTTATAGCAAACTTCAGCCTCAGAATGATATCCCAGTGAAATCAAAGACAGGACACTGCTCTTACAGATGTTTGCAAGCCTGGCCAATCTCTGAGGGGCTTTCAGGCACGGAAAGATGACATTTTTCACCTTCACAAATGGGAGCAGTGTGTGCAAACAAGTCATACCCATTTCTGTGCTGCCCAGGCCTTTGCCTTCGGCTTCCAAAGTGTCCATGGAGCATTAAGACAACTGGTCCTTCCCAGCGCCTTCTTCAATATCACACATATCCCCTTGTACCTCTCCTACAACACTAGGCTTTGGGTTTTGTATTTTTTTTTTAAACTTATAGGAAAAGCCGCTGACCTTAGGAAGGCCGTTGTACTTACTGAGTTCAGCAATGCTCCCCACGCGCGTGGCCAGCAGGGACTGCTCGATGGTCCTTAGCTCCGACTGGCTGAACATCTGCACCTCCCCGGGCTTGTTGGACCTCGCCTGGTCYTTGTGGAGGTTCAGGCTGTCCGGCAGGCAGAGAACACCTACAGCAAATTAAACAGACGGGAAGAATTCAGGCACTAGTACAGAGCCCAAAAGACAGCAGACACTTCTAATGCGGTATTGCAGATGAGTCAGGCTCGCAGAGGTGCCCCTCTAACATCTCTGAAAATCCCCTAGTCACTTCTGTTGGCACCTAGGGATAATTACTACAGAAAGTCCCACCAACGTGCTCAGAGATGAGGTCAACGGGGTCCCAAAGAAAACCCCTAGAAATTACTCTAAGGCCACACTAATTTAATAGAAAACGGTATCTTGGCAACCAAATTATTATAGATTGGTTTTAAAATGAGAAGGCTGTTACATTTACACGCTTCCCCTGCAAGGGGGATCCCGCTGACAATTGCCAAAGCAACRGAGCGGCTCCGACGCTCCAGTGCCACTGATGAGTTTATTGAATTCCTTTTGCAGCTGCGACTCCCGGCGATGGAACCGCTGCAGGCTCCAGCGGCCCACGAGGCCGAAGCCCCCGCAGCAGCGGATTTTGGCGGTGGAGGGGGTAAATAACGCATGGACAGAGGCCATGTCACGTACAAGCCATGACAGCGAAGCCCTCGAGCATGCCCGGGCACACGTTTATTAACCCAAGCCACCGCCGTGCTACAAAACTCAACGTATTTGCAACAGTGAACGCCCCAATATGGCCCTTCGTTAACAGATGCATGAACGTGCAGCGAGGGCAGTGACCCCCAGCAGGTCCACTGCCCCTGTCACCTTCCAGGTGCCCCGGGACACACTCAGGTGCACAGCCAGGCAAGCCTGGGGAATGGCGCCCGTTACCGGCAGCAAAACGGGATCCTACACCTGGCTGTGTGATTCGGAATAACCAGCTTTGGTGCTTCTGTCAAAAAAAAAAAGCCAGACTAGGATAAAAATGGCTTTTAGTGGTCTTTTTGACACACCAGGGAGAGGTATCTTCCCATTTGTTTAGCTTTTCTTCTTCTTTTTCTTCTGCTTTTTTTCCCTCCTCATGAGTCTATTTAGTTTCCGAGCTTGGCACATAAGGGGCCTCTAACTCTACTGGTCAGTAATGGGGCCGAAAGATGTAGTAATATAGGAGGTGCCTGCAGAATGGCTGCCTCAACCCCCTCCGTGCTGTTATCAAACAACTGTCCAAGTATCCCTGCATGGACATTTCTCAGACACGTCCTTAGTCCCATCAACTTGCCCCTTGACTCCCCCTGCACACGTTTCCCTCCGCCTGGTAAGAGAGTTGGATTCAAAAGTTGTATTTGCAGCAGGGACCTAAAAAGCTCAGTCCTGCGGGAAGAGTCCCTTGCTCAAGGCAAAGGGCAGCAGTATGGGCTGGAAACCTGGGGTCTGGCCCCCCATGGCTGCAGAGCACCCACCCATGGCTTGCATGGGTGATCCCGTCCGGCAGCGCGCCCTTCGATGGGATCACCCACGCAAGCTCTACTGAAATACCTGGACAAATGCTCTGTGAGCCCGTTCAAACACTGCACACAGAAGAGCAGCAGCAGCCTTAATCCCTACCCTGGCACCAATCCCAGTGCTGTAGCCTCCAAAAAAAAACAAAAAAAAGTCACATTGGTCAAGAGAGATGAATGTGACTTGTCAGGAAGAGCTCCGGAGGACATCCGACATAACAGCAGAGAAGATGAAATTAAATGCACCGAGGTAGAAGACGTTAAAAAAAAAAAAAAGCAGCAACAACAGATTATTAAACCGGCTTTCAAAATTCTCCTGCGATCATTCAGGGCCTGCCTCGCATCAGCTCTTAGCGAACTAATCACCATTTATATTCCGGAGGGGTATGGAGCTTGAGAAGTACAACTCCCAGGTTTAAAATGCCGGCTTTGCTTGCATATTTTAAGAAGTATTCTCTATAGGAAATCTTTCTAATTTATTCAGACTATTCTTTGGAATTTTAATGGATAGGAATTAAGGCAATATTGGAAGAGGCCTCCCTGCAGAAAACAGGTGTATAATTGACCTAATACTGCAAGAGACTGTTAAACATCAGGAACGGTGTACAAACAAGGTTAGGGCACTTAAAAAGTGAATATCCAACGAGGAAAATACCTTTCTGTTAAGATACACCCTAAATGTGAGAAAACCTCTGTTTTAAGCTACTTTTACAAATAAGATTTAAACGGTTTAATATATGCAGAAGAGATTTGTCGGGTGATCAAAGCCCTGGAATACAGACATTTTATCCTCAACTTTGCCCCTTTGTTCCCATTTCCAGGCATCTTTGCTACAAATAGCCCTGTTGATTAATTACTCTGTTCTTTAGCAAGGGGGGCAAATTATAGGACACGTCATGCCAAAGTTTTTTTTTTTCCSCTTTCTTTTTTATCTGGGGTTTGAGATTAGTCAAGACATGCGACAGCCAAACATCTGATATTTATATGCCAATTTAAAGGCTATAATTGACCGCAGCGGGTGACCGGTGCTGTGTTCGAAGGCTGTTTATAACTCTCATAATTTTGCTGGATCCAAATCTGCTTTTCACTCGTACAGAGAAAAGGGATTCTTCTGCTCAGGCCACCCATTCTGCCAGGTTTCCAGCTTCAGCTGGTTTCCCCAAAAATGAATTTTTAAAAGTCACAAAAAAATGCCTAAAAATGCACGGCTTGATGAACTGTTTTGCCTGTTCTTTCATCCTGCCCTCCCTCGCACCTGAGCGGGAAACGGGCACCAAACCCTGGGATTTGGGGCTGTGCTCCAAATGGGAGCACCGCGACCCACGGAAAAGTCACCCCCTGTCAGTACAGAGCTGTCTCTGGAGGGAGGAAAAGCCCTTGTCTGCTTTYGAAGCTGCTCGTGGCCGAATGGAAACACAAAGAAAATAACTGCAAAAGTTAGTAAAAACGCTCCACTGGGCAATATGATCCAAGTTTTCTCTGCTCAGGCATCTAGCAAGACCTAATGCATGTGTTTTGACTACAAATAAAAATGCCATAGAGATGATAAAACATTTTTTTCCCCCTCACATTTTAGTAGAAATATTTCTTCTTTTGGAAAGACTGCCTGTTTTTCTATATACATATTAATTTACATTCTGGATAGAGGCTAGGAGGTTTTGCTGCTATTGTTATTTTTCTTTAAAGGCTCTACTTTGAGGAGAAAATAATTTAAAGCATCTTTGACATCCCTTTCTTATCAGGCAAATGTAAATATCTGTGGAAAATAGTTTATATTCCTACTGTAAAAAATAGCTGGATTCCATTAAGTTTGTAGAAATTAAGGGTGCAGGACAGATACCAGACAAACTGCTTTACAAAACGAACTGAAAATCACACTTAGGTCTAAATAGTCTCCAAAATGTGGTACTGCAAAGTGCTCCAGTGAACACCAGCACGSCCAAAAAAAGACTACATTTAGGGGCAGGAATTCATTGGATCCTCCCACCCATTTGATTTCTTCCACAGTGGCATGGGACTAACACAACTTCAAGTCCAATCTCCAGCTCTAAAAAAATCATGTGAGCTTCAAGAGAGACCACAAGGCATCCAAATGAAAATTCCCCTTCTAAAATCGCACATACCAAACTACTTTCCAGCACCGCAGAGTAAGCTTGAGATCTACAGCACAATGCCTTTCAGAAAGAAAGCAAAAGAACAAAAATGCTGCCAAGTATGTTTGCAATAACCATACACTTCATGGGGTGAGGATGGAACACCTGACATTCCCACATGTGGAAAAATTCTTTCCTGACCCTGTGTTTAGTAGAGAATTACAACACCCATGATCCACCATCCACAGCCCACAACAGATTTTTAAATACAGCCTGATACAGCGTCCCAACACAGACATGCAAGAGCTGGTCACCTCAAGGTGACAAAAACCTTCACGTACATATTCAAACTTGAGAAGAAACCCATTGGCCTCTGCTGTTTGAAGCTACCTGCACTGTGGCTCCTTGGCTCAACCTGTCAACCTGACAGGCAAGGCAGATGGAAAAGCTCCTCACTTCTCTTTACAGAAATTAGACTGTGGGGGAAAAAAAGCCACCTTAATGCTAATTTCATCAACCAGTGCTCTTTCAGTTAACTGAAGACCTGGAAAGTATTCAAGGCAAGGAGTGCTCACTGTCTTCTTTCCACACATTCCAACCCAGTTAAATAATAGGGAGTGCCTTAGGATGGAGAGAATAAAAAGTGTTTGGGAAAGTTAGAAGGTGATATAAAATTTCCAGAATTAAGCCCTAGAGCAGGCAAAGTAGCCCAAATGAGTAGAACAGGGCAAGACACTGAGACATTAAGAAGGATCACCAGCTTTTCATTTAGCTTCAAGATGCTGGCATAAAGAAGGTAAGGTAAAATTCATTTCCATTTCATAAATGGGGCAAAAGTAAGCCACAAGAAAGCTTAGTAACAAATTCAAGGTGCAATAAAAAGTGTTAAGAGGAAAGCAGAAAGAGAACATAACGCCTCTAGTTATGCAGTATAACCACAAGAGATCACCCTTTCTCTCCTGCAGAAGAAACTCAGCAGAAGATGCTTAAAAATGAAAGAACAAGGAGCCTAAGAAATCTGCCAAGAAAATAATCAATAGCAGTACCCACTGATGTATGAAAAATAGAAGTTGTACAAGCTCCATAGATTCTGGTTTCTTACCTGCTGGAACTTCCCTTCCAGAAGAACTGCAGAGAACAGTCATCTGAGTCTATGCAAGTGTAGCTGTTTATTTTATTTGGCCACGTTTGGAGGTTTTGTCCTAGCAGTTTTATCTCTGGCTCCTTGCAATTGGAAATTTTAGTAACTGTGTATCTGCAGTACAGCCTTTTTTTCCCCAAAAGATGTATGTTTGTTTTCAGGGCAGTATCGCAGCTGAGGAGGATTAGATTTCATCAAGAGCCAGAATGCATGATCATCGTCCCCAGCACAGTACCTCTGTGAGATATTAGAACAGATGTTATAGGACAACAAGATAACAGAATTATATCAGAAAATGCTGTGATGACATATTTTCACGTAAGGAGCTTGTTAGCATAGTGCACTCTACTTAATTGGGATGT